ATGCATACCCCTCTTCTCATTCAGACTATATTTGCCAAATATGGATCACAGGATTTGTAGGAACGGTGTCTTAATAGAAAGACTAGGGCCAAGATTTTCCAGCTTAATGTGTATTAACCTTGAAAGGGATGTATCTATGTTTCTACAAAAGCTTGCTTTGTTTACAATAAAAAGCTTATTTTTCAAGGCACTCATTTCTAATTTAACTCTCTCCTTCAATAGGGAAAAAAAACCTCTTTAAAAAGAAATTCTGATAAGTTTTACCTGCTCTGTATCCAGTGTAATTTTACAAAATCTACTTAAAATTCACCAATTTATCAGAATTTTTCATTTGGAATCAATGTAGTACCCTCCCTGGCCTTTTAGATATTCAAAGATTTTCCATCTAAATTATTTTTGTCAACAGGAAAAGTAATCTTTGTCCAGTGATCTTTTCCATGGGGAAGTGAAGAAGTTAAGGCCTGGGGCCTTCACCGCCTCCAGGGCTGCAGCCTCACAACAGGACCTCTTTACTTCTTTCTTTAGCCGTGCAGCCTTGAGTTTTCACATTATCAGTTATTTCTCACAAATCCAGGTATTCAGATACCATTTGTCCCTTCAACTTCTTGTCAGATTCACCCACATCCTTTGTCATAGTCTTAATACAAGCCTGAAGCTCTTCCTTCTTTATTCCTTTGCCATCATTTCTGCTAACAAGTTCCTCTGATATGGGGATCCATATCTCCTCTCATGCTCTGGCCACTTCAGGAGGCTTTAAAACCTTTTTCCTGGTGGTGTTTTCCTGAGAAAGGAAGAAGATTTCCTGTCTGTTCCAGACTTCGGCCTTCTGGTTCCCTCCATGATGCCAAGGCCCTGCCCTGGCAGCAGTCATATCCTCCTTCCCCGTCTAAAATGGGGGCACACCACAGGAGCAGGAGCAGCCAGGAAAAAATAAAAGGGCAGGAAATGGAGACGAACATAAAGCAGATCAGCACTTGCAGTCACCACCGTGCTGGAGAAGGGAGTGGGCATGAGGAGGCAACCCCAAGCCCCAGCCCTCCTCCACCCCATGTGAGGCGACCATTGCGGGAAGCTGCTCTGTAAGGAGGCGCACGGTTCCCTCCGAAGGGCTGCGTGACACACTTGCATAAACCATTCCTCGGCAAGCCAGCAGCCTGCCTTCCCCTCAGGTTGTCTCTGGGCACCAGTCCAGGTGACTTTTTTCCCAGATCTTTCTGCAACATTTGCCTGTGATGGCTCAGCTGCCCTCCCCGCTGCTCACTCAAGATGGTGGCCACAGCCTTCCCTCCGAGCTGGCCGGTTCCTAAAATGGCTTCCCTACTGCAGCATGAAGTGGCCAGTGGCCTCGCATCATCCAGCCCCTCTGCCTTCCTCCTTTACAGTGGTCAAAGACCAGATTTCTCTCTGGACTCAGCTGGACTTTCTCTGTATCTGCTCCACCTCCCTCTTCCTGAGGAACCACACTGAATTCCCATCTTTCTCTCCACCAGGTTACAATCCAGGACTTAAATAGAATATATATGGTTTTACATTATATTTCTATGGCAGGCAACAAAGATTCAATTTAAATTCCAATATCCATCTTAGATCTCCAATTTCCCCAGGACTATCTTTGTTTCCGCCAGATTTTCAAGTGTGAAACTCTGAAACATTGGGGTCCACTTAATTTCTCCCAGATATTTCTCTAGGATGGCACAGCTCCTTGGACCACACAATAACTCATCCCCAGTGATGATTTTTAAGTAGTAAACTTTTTCAAGCCTTTTAGCAGAATCCAGACATTGCAGCATGCAGCCAAAACCCTCCCAACACAACAGGTTTCCCAAATGATGAAGCAACAACAGCTGCAGGGACTCATCTAACACCAGGGACACAGAAGATCCTGCGAGCATGGGTTGAGGTTCAGAAAACCAAGAAACAAGGATTGAGTAATTTTTGTTTCATGTGCAGAAATGGTGATACTCTGATGCTGATTACATTCTCCAAAACTAAACACATTTTCACAACAAAAAGAATGTTGTTGACGAGGCTATCTGCAATGACCCAGCAGAGAGAGGAAGGGAGAAGCTGGCACTTACCCATAACCTGAGGTGTGCTTGATTTGTGGAAATTCCACCTTGCACCCAGCGCTACAATAAAGAATGCCTGCTTTCTAAAACTCCAAACTGAGTCTTCAAGAGTTCTTTATCTGCCGATTTATGGTAACAAGTGTGTGGTCACCTTGAGCTGTTAGTCCCTCTCTGCTCTGTGCTCTTCTATAAATAGCGTCAGCCTCTGAAGGCAGAAAGACAAAGCCACCATGCTTTTTGTAGTAAGTTCAGTTGGCTGCTCTCTCCTTCAGCAGGCACCAGAAAGTATGACGAGAGAAGTGGCTTTAAAGGGAGTGCTCCAGGAAAACCAAGATTGTCGTTCAGATTATTTCTTTCCTGGATTTGTCTCTTAGCCCTACAAAAGGGATGAAGAGAGCTGGAATAGTGGTATTTCACACTCTCCTCCCTAAGGAGGCATTTCACCCTCTCCTCTCCTTTCTAAAAGGGGAGCAGAGCTTCCTTTGGAGCCACTACACACAGCTTGCATAGCAAGTGCATTCAAAGCTGAATTTCATGCTCTGAAATGTTTGCATTTAATCTGGCACGTGTAGTTTTCCCTAGAACGTATGAGCAGACACTTACCACAGATTACTACAGCGTAAGAGTATGCAGATATGTTTTTATCTCATATTAGGTGACACTGCAGGATTACATTCCAGTTTACACAGGAATATTTTGTAATATACTCAGATCCTTAAGGCTTAAATGTCCAAGGCATATTAAAAAGAATCTGAAAAGAAAATCTCAATAATTCTCAAATGACCCCTAATAACTTCTTTAGAGGCTTTTAGCCTCTTGTAACAGTCCTTCTAGAACAGTGGAGGTGACCTTATTTGCTCTACTAACTTGTGAAACTGAACAACATCTTCTGGTGGAAGAACAGTCAAGGGACAGCCTTGACTGAAGAACAAAAATGAAGAGCAAAAAATTAGGATAAATGAGAAAATGGGGTAGGTTGGAAAGATGGTACAGACTATAAAGGTAACAGAACACTTTGGAGAGGTGAGACAAACATGGGGAAGAAGAGGAAGCAGATGTTCTGGAGGGAACCAGGGTGTTGCACAGGTGGGAAAAAAAATCATTTGTTGACACTTGATAGCTTCAAAACTTACTTGTTTTTGAGCTCAGTAGACACTTTAACCAGTGGTGCAGCTGGAGCTAGCCTGGAATACGGTTCTCTCACACTGGAAAAGGAGGATGACTGTGGGCTTGTTTAAATCTGAGGCATGGGATTCATCTTACTCTATTTGATGGAAAATGTATTTATGAGGTTGCCTAGGCTCCATTTTCTTCATAATTACTAAATGCAGCCAGCAGCAGCTTTTCTTCAGTGCTATCTACCAGCTATTCTTTATTCTTTAGGATTAGTGACTTTTAACTTCGGTGCTACAGGCAAGGAACTGCTGCTGTCATTTCCTATCCTCCTGCTATCCATGTGGATAACAAATGAAGCACCCCCTTACAAGGGTGGAGCTAATGCCAGGGGGTTGTTTGCAGTTCCAGCACGGAGGGGACTTCACACCAATCACCTACCTGTCTGGACACACTGCCATCCAGCCCACAGCAGTGAAAAGGGTTGAACCATCCCATAAAAGTAATCCTGCAGGGGTAGAAACTGGTGACCCAGGTTTCATCCTGTATGAGATTACTGATTTCACGCATCTCTGCCTGTTAGACTGGGGTGCTTTAAAATACAAGGTAGGCAGATGTACCTGAAACAAATGCAGCTGATAATGACTTCAGTCCTGCAGACAGCTAATCAGTGTATAAAAATAATCCTTCATATGTTGGCATACAGTACCCACTTTGTATGTCATACAGGAAGAACATACTCCCAATGTTGTAAAAAAAAAAAAAAATCCTTTATCAACTGTCAGTAATCAAACTAGCAAAATGTTGAATATCCACATTTGCCAAGTCCTTAAGCACCATGCTCATAAAGGGCTTCAAGAAGTCTTCAATAGTGCCAAATCTTCTGTTGGTCGCGATATGCTAATTTATGCTGACTGATGTGAAGTCAGCTAACTGTAATAAAGAATCCATTAAAGAACTGAAAAGAATAAATGAAGCTGAATAAATTATTGAGGGATCCGGAACAAACACCACCAGATGACTACCTGTCATGAAAAACACATGTTCTCATGTTGCTGTCAACCAGCAGGCTCATAAAAAAGAACAAGTTATCAACACTTTGTGTCTGCTCCCTGCTGTCATTTGTCTTCCAGTCCTTTACCCTTTGCCTGTATTATGAAAAGCTCTCTACACCTGGCTGATGAAGCCGCTCCTCTATTTTCATCTCAAGGGCTGAAATACCACCCAGTTCAGTGGGTGAAATCCTGAACTGTCTTGCCAGGTGTCAATGATAGAGTTGTATACAACAAGCTTGCACAACAACAAACCTGATCAGTCTAAGGAAATGTTATCTCAGATCATATTATCTGCCTCTCTAGAAAGCTTCTCCCCATTAAGTCCTCCACCCACTAATATCCTGGGACAGACTGAAAGACCTCTAATCCTATCTCCACAAATGCAACTGTGGCTTATGAGAAAGAACGCACAGATCTTTAACCATGAGACTTCTAATTTATAGATATTGCTTCAAGCTCTTTCTCTGTAAATCCTCTTTCCAGTTAGCAATAAATAAGGCCCAATTCTAATTCTTCCCTTAATGCCTTTATTTGTTATGCATCAGGAGAAATTTACCAAGATTTTCCAAACAGAAAACAAGAATGAAAGATTAACTCTTTGTAGGTACAATCCTCAGGATGCAACTGTCTGAAAAGCACCTTTCAGGGTAGTGATTAACCAAATCAAGAGGAAAGCAAAAATCTTAAGACATGCAAAAAGGAATTTATATGCAGAAACAATCTTGCAGACTAAGTCTTCCCTGAATCTGTGGGGCACCATTTCCTACCGAGGAATGGCACAGAGCTGGTAGGGAGGTGGCTTCATTGTGATCCCAAAAACAAGCTTTGTATTGACTTCTTTCACTCCTTCTGGCAGGGTGAACGTGAACGCCTGTAACAGGGTGGAAAAGACAATAAAGAGCTCCATCCTTGCCAACAGCTCCCCCATACATACACGGTGCCCTGTGAAACAAGAGAAACAGCAATCAGCCAAAGGATTTCTATCACACCTCCCTTTCTAACCTGCTTAGGTTTTTTGTTTGTTTGCTTGTTTTCTGCAGACTTTGTCCTTTTCTCTTAACTGACTTTGTCATTTAATGATTCAGAACTGAAAGGCTGCTTGTATTTCCACCAAAAGGTTTAATCTATATTTACAGCAGGCAGCAAGGCATTCTAGAAGTGATCACCAGAGTTGCATAGTTTACATTTACAGTCTTCCTAGCCCTATGCATTTTGCTGCTACTATTTTGATAACTGGATCTCTCCTCCAAGAGAAACTGGATCTGTCTTCCAAGAGAAACTTTTCTATGTGTCATTCCTTCTTTTCCAATCTTTTCCACATACAATTGGACTTCTCTCTTCCTGGAGATCTTTAAAACAGTGGAATGTGTTTATATACCTATTTGTAGATGACTTCCCAGTTATGTTGGAGAATGAATGGATCTTAAGTTGTTATCACATGGAGTAAATACCTTCCTGTTCAGTGCACATACCTATTGAAAACGGTAAGAATGCTTCTCTGTTTACAAAGTTTCCATCTTTATCTAGAAAGTGGCCTGGGTTGAACTGATCAGGTGTCTCCCATTTTCCAGGATCAGACAGAACAGAGTCAATATTTGATAAAATTATGGTGTTCTGAAAAAAAGGAGCAGCGGCTTCAGTTCTGTCTTATAGTTCATATTCATCAGATAAGTAAATAATGACAAAGGAGCAGAGAATTTAAAGTCCTAATTTAAAGTCTCATTTTTTCAAAAATGAGATCAAGCTTTAAAACATTTCATAAGAAGTTTAAACTTTTGAGAATGTTGTGACTTCCTTTCCTTTATTACTTGCTGCCAATAAGTTCAATAAAATAAATGGTTAGGATTTTATAATGTTCATATTGTTAAAATGCATTGCTTTTATTTTTCCTATTGTCACTAAGTATTTTTATTATTTATTCAGCTTTTGAGTTACAGAATATCATGAGTATCAGTTTAATTTTTCCCTTTGTTACTCGACAATTTCTGCAACGCTAGAGTTGCTTTGAGCAGATCCAGAAAAAAGAAATGAAAATGAAACTACATGAAAAGCAGCGATGGGAGAATATTTAGAAACAAACCCTAATGTATCTTTCAGTTACAAAACTTGAAAACACTTTAGTTTCATTGTAACATTTGCAAGATACTATTTTTAAAAGCTTGTGATATGAAAATAATTTCAGATATCCATGTTTTTCAGTAAAAGCTTTTTTCCAGTTTTGGATGGCCTCTGTTCACCGGCTGATAAGCCGTTTTGACAAGGGACAGACCTGAGATTGCTGGAAATTAATATGTTTATTTCCAGACACCATTCACAAGTTTTCTGTTGACAGAAATATTGATCTAAGAACCTACTAATAGTTAGGACAAAGTGCCCATTTGCTTGCAAAAGGCCAACCTTAGATACAGTCATAGCTTAGGAGCACTGCTAGAACTGATAGGACACGAGTTCATGTCCCCAATCAGGAAAACCCTCAAAACCCTTTCTAAATGCATCTAATGTACCAAAGACCTACTGATATCAGCAGTTCTCAGTCGCAGCTGCTTTTCAACTAAATGAGCAATTAAATCAAAAGAAACTAAAAAAGGACGGTGTTTTGGGAATCAATAGCTGAGGTGGCTTCAGTTGGTAAAAAGTTATGTTAAATCAGTTTTAAAAACTGTTACAAGTGTACCAGACATCAGATATTCAAATATGCAGCATATTTCTACCTTTGGAACAGGATATCCCAGCAGCTCTGTGTCCTTCACACTCTGTCTGGGAAGTGCAATTAAGATTATATTACTGTATCGCTGGATCTCGTGAATTACAGCATTTGTATAGGGCAACTTTTTTCTGTCCTCATAGCAAATTAAATGGGAACGACCCAGAACAGCATCCAGCTCCTTCTGGACTTTCTCTAAGGAGGAATATTCAGCTTTAGATATACAATAAACAATCTATAAACTCTATACTCATCATTTTTCCTATTGCTGTTTACAGTAAGAATAACATCCAACAACATGAAAAAGATATTTTATAATATAAGAATGCCTTCAAATTCCCATAGAGATGACCTGAATAAAATTTGACACTGAAGTTGTTTATAGGTTGCATACCCATGTAATACTTTAAAAAGAATGGTAGCAGACAAAGTTGCTCTATAAGAATATTTAGGTTCCTGTAACGTTTACTGCTCTGAGGTAATTTATAAGAAGACTTTTATTAATATTTATTTTTACAGGCAGGGAATCAGCTGGAAAATGAAATATTAATCGTGTATTATGAGAGCAGTTTAGTAACTGATCAAGGACTGTTCTTCACTCAGAACCACATAGATTTTGCTTGTCATCTACAGATGGCCTAACTGCTATTCTGTAATTACCTGCCCTTGGGAAGCACTTACACAAATTAATTTTTCTCAAGGACTTTTTTTTTCTTTACTTACAATCTGAGCTGAAATGGTAATTTCTGATTAATTTCTGAGCTGAAATGTCCTGATCAATACTACAGCCTTTATCATTGCAATTAGACTGACCCTATGCATCAGGAAACTTAAGACCGTTTTAATATACCCTGAGAGGGTGAAAGATCATGTTGTGAAAATTCAGTATGTGCAATACAGGCTCTAATTTAAGCTCTTTTGAAGAGAGGTAACAACAATGGGAGATCCTTTCTCCTTACCACTTCCATTTCCTTCTTGCCAGCCTCCTGCTGTGCCTCGTACCCAGCTTAAACTCTCAAATATGAGGCCTTTGAAGTGATTTGTATACTTCTTAATCCTTTCTATCCTGTACACTCTGACTCTTCCTTTTCACTTATTTTACTCTGCCAACCTATATCTTTCTTCTGTGAATATCATTATTAAAAGCATACAGTTTCAAGCTACTCACCGCAATCTTTTTTTATATCTATTTATATGTAGATATCTATGTTTGAAGTTTTAAGCTTCATGGAATAACCACACATATTAGCAACTTCCCACTGTATTGAAATTGTTTCTGCTGCAAAGAAGCCAGGAACACACTGAAGACTAGCAGTCATGGGTTGAAAAGGATGACCTGAGGACTCCACCTTGTCCTCAGTGGAAGTCTAATCATTATTGTCAGTGGAGGGGCAACGGTGCAATTTATCTCATCTGAGACTAGACTCCTCCATCTGATCAGATGAATCACACCCTGCATTCTGTATAGTTCTCTTAAAAACAAAACCTAAAATGACTGGCCTGTATGTCAGAAAGGATACAGCAAGAAACAAATACATGCAGTTCACCTGATTCATACCCTAATAATTAGTTCCTCTACTATTCTTTGAACAAGTTCTACTACTATTTGAACATGTATAATTTCTAAAAGGTTGCAGTTCTGCTTTGGGTGTGCTTACCTTGAATATCAGGATAAACCACCATATAAAGCAACGCCCAACGTAAAGTGGTGGCTGTAGTTTCTGTACCTGCCAGAAAGAGGTCAAAAATAGTCTGGATCAAGTTTTCTTCATCATAAGTAGAATCAGCATCTCCTTTAGTCTGCAGATATGAATTGGAAAGATCAAGTTATGGCAGACAAAAAAAAGAAGTAAACCACCTTGCATCACAGGAATATTTACTGATACTATCCAAAATGAAAAAAAAAAAAAAAAAAAAAAAAAAAAAAAAAAAAAAAAAAAAAAAAAAAAAAAAAAAAAAAAAAAAAAAAAAAAAAAAAAAAAAAAAAAAAAAAAAAAAAAAAAAAAAAAAAAAAAAAAAAAAAAAAAAAAAAAAAAAAAAAAAAAAAAAAAAAAAAAAAAAAAAAAAAAAAAAAAAAAAAAAAAAAAAAAAAAAAAAAAAAAAAAAAAAAAAAAAAAAAAAAAAAAAAAAAAAAAAAAAAAAAAAAAAAAAAAAAAAAAAAAAAAAAAAAAAAAAAAAAAAAAAAAAAAAAAAAAAAAAAAAAAAAAAAAAAAAAAAAAAAAAAAAAAAAAAAAAAAAAAAAAAAAAAAAAAAAAAAAAAAAAAAAAAAAAAAAAAAAAAAAAAAAAAAAAAAAAAAAAAAAAAATTAAAGGGCTAGAAAATAAACTTTCTGAATAATATGAAGACATTTTCTAATATTCTCCAATACATTTGTCAATTTATCCTATCCACATACACATTTTGTTCTTCAGCCACGACAAAGTTACTAATTGTACATGCTTTCTACTCCTGCTGCAAATCCCATCATAACAGTCATTTCTAGTTGTACCTTAACCATATGCACATCTGTTATTATTGTGGTTCTAGATAATCTACCTGTAAATCTACTTACATTATTACTTCATCCTCCTCCCGCCATCTCTTAGTGTCAGCCTTTTTTAATTCATCTACCTATAAGCTTTTCTATGGAGAAATTGTATACTTCTAAATTTATATTAGACATCATTATAATCAAAGGACGACTTAAAATCCCTTGTTGTTAGTGGAGCATAAGAAGAGTTCAGATACTCACTTTATCTATCTCATCCAAATAGTAATCAATAAAATCTTGATTTTCTTCTGGTTTTCCTTTTTGTTTGTGGCTTTCAAGTTCCTTTGCTAATAGAGTGTTCACAAAATTTATGCTGGACACAGTCTGTTTAAATGGTGCTAGGAAATGGCTTGCAAGCCAGGGAAACATTTCATATACCTATAAAAGAGATATTTTAGATATGTGGTATTACTGAAATTAGCAAACTATATTTGAATCCTAAAACAGGCTTTTGGGTAGTGGAAAAAGCAAATGAAAGGCGCTGACTACCGCAGCTTCACTATTACATTGAAGGGATAGTGCCTATCCCATGATTCATTAAAGCCTTTCTTAATCCCATTTTTCCCTGGAGCAGAATTTCTCTTAGTTTTATGCTATAAATTTTCCATTGCGATGTACAAAGAATAAATGAAGTTCCTCTGTACCCCAGTTCTTTGCTAGGCTGAACTTCAGTAGCAAGGACCTCATATAAAACATGTCCCTATTCTCAGTTTATCCAACATACCTATCATTTCTATCTCATCACTAAAAAAACAGATCCAGGCTGACTGCCTTGACACATCTGCTAACTGAAAATAGAAATATCCAAACCCAGGTTTATTTTTGTACTGTAGGATACCGAATGCGTGGGGATTTTACTCAGATATGCCTTCTCACAGGTAAGAAGCAAACACATCACATCTGTGTGATATGCAAAACAACTTGAAGTAGAAATACTGAGCCGTGTGGATTCCCTACTGTTCATTCATTGTTCTAAACGTATTCACATTCTTGCACTTATACCATTATAAAACCACATCTCAGCAGAAAAGAAACAAAATACTTTTTACATTAATTCCATTCCTCTACTTCATTTCCCTTTCTTTTTTCCCCTTTTACAGATTGCACCATGTCCTTCCAGTTTACAGAATTACTGCAGCTTAAATTATGCATTAGGTCATAACTCTTGGGCTCACCTATTTACATGGCAGCTGCATTACAAAGATTTATCTTCCCACAAACCTATTCAGATTCCTGACTTGTATTTCATCTTCATCCTACTGCATAATTTTGCTTAAAACTACCTGTCCATTTACCAGGAAAACAGATGAGTACAGACCATCATTAACGGATTGTACATCACTGTGAAAGCACTGTGGAGAGCAGGACAGAATGAAATATTGGACTAGAATGTTTTTGTTACCTGTGGACACACTATTAAGAGTTTTTAAGAACAGCTTATACAAATACCTACTGAGAGCAGTTTGGAAATATCGGATCCTGTGTTTACCCTGATTAGAAGGTAGCTTAGGAATCATTCCACCTGCATCTTCTGTGAGAAAAAATCGTAAGTAGTTTTATTTTATTTTATTTTATTTACCAAAAGTATCAAATTAGTCCTCAAATTCTCTAGGACCTTGATTACAGCAGTTTCCACTTAGTAAGAGAGGGTGGAAATCACGCAAGATGCAAAGCCGGATGAGTTCCAGCAAGTTCTGCAGACGCAGGCTGCCTCGTACATTAGTAAATTGACTTCTTCACTATATATAGTATTGTGGTTCCCATTCATAAATGGTTAATGATAAAACTGCCCTTATTCGAGGCAATCTGTTCCACTGTTTTTGCAGCTGCAGCCACAGCTTCACACAGAAGCAAGATAGCATTTTTTTCTGTCCAGTGGACCAGATGTGAAGTTAGGAGCTGCTGTCTTGAATGGAGACAAATACCATCCAGCAGCTAATGGAGAGTGACTTCCAGTGTGTATTACTGAATTCTCATAAGGACATGCAGCGGTGGTACAGGTGTTGCTGCCAAAGACTACAGGAAAAGGCTACCATTAAGCAACTTCAACCTTCGCACAAAACAGTCGCTCTACTTAAGTTTCTATGAAATTAGCCAACAGTAGCGAAGGAAGTAGTTAAAGACCCATATTACTCTTGACATTTGTTAACAGTCATATGATTTCATATAGTGAAGAAAGCCACTGTGTTAGACAGAATTTAAGATAAGCCTATTTCAGAGCTTTTCAGATATTTTTACCTATATTTTACTACTGAGTTTCAGTTGTAGTTTCAAACACTGCAGTTGTACAGGTAGCGCTTTTGCAAGAAAGTCCTTTGTACATCTCCCAAACATGTAGCAAGCCTGTATGTTTCCATCCCTGTCCACCAGACATGGGAAATTTCTGTGCTATGATGAAGCATAAGCAATTGAAACAAGTTTTGAACTAGGCATCTGGAAGTACTGTTCTGATGTGTACTCCAGCAATTCCAGGTGCACCAGTATTTATTTTTGTTATAAAAGTAACAAGCAAGTTGCCTTTTTCATTGTCTATCTATATACAGTAAACAAACAAACAAAACAAATAATTTTCCTCACAAAAAAAGAGATGCTGTTCCCAAATGTTGCTAGAGTATCAACGGATTCAATCAAGCGGTGAAAATTTTCATCATCTTTAGAGAAGCGATGTCCAAAAATCACAGAACAAATCACATTTGAGACAGTATGAACAACAGGCATGGTGGGGTCCAGAGGTTTTCCTGTAAACACAATGAACAGCATTCACCATTAACGCTTACTGTTCCTGCTTTTCCCACTGAAAGGCGAGCTGGTAGCATTTTATAAAACCTTCTGACATTAATTAGATTGCTGGATGGCAAATTGCAATTTATTGGTAAAAAGCATGGGTAAAAAGCATGAGTAAAAAGTAACTTCAGACATCTAAAAAACACTGTTGGTTAAAAAAAGGCAAGACTGCTGATGGGAATGGAATTAGTAGTAGTAGTAGTAGTAGTAGTAGTAATAGTAATAAAAATACCCAGATTTCACAGAACCTTGGCATCAGTAGATCTCATGTTTGGCAATAACCAGGGTACAAAAAAGCTCAGCTGAGACACTGTGTGAATAAGCAGCTGAATTGAAACGGGAACCACCCTCTATTCTTTGCTCATATCCTTTACACCTGAATAACAGAATAATTGAGCATACCTATGGATTCACCCCGTTATTCAGCAGCACAAGCTAAACAAACTTCCTCTCTTACTGAGGAGGCTACCACAAGCCGTGTGAGGTGAGCTTTTTCCACTGCCCTTGCCAGAGCAGAGCCATAGGGTTGTGCAGCCTCGGTTAAAACTTTTAATATTTCGTGCCTTGTTTTTCTTTTCTGCAAAGGGATATGGGGCATTGTGACACTTATTTTGTTACTGTTTGCTGTTACCCTGATTCTGTGACCATGAGTAATGTAAAACTGACTAAGAAGTAGTAACACTAACAGACAGGGACCATGGAGTCTCAGTTCTAAGTTCATACTGTGGGGTTTCACGTGTAGCACTTCTGCAAGGAAATGTCTCATGCAGATCATATGATACAGACCTTTGAGACTCGGCTCTGCACGTACACTATAAATCCATTTTTGTAATCAAATAGTTTCAAAAACTACAGATGACCCATTCTTCAGCAAAACCACCCATTGCACAGACTGATCTGCATACTGAGTCACATACCATTTGTTTTCTGTAAGTATTCCACCAGGTGACAGGCCTCCTCTTGTAGTCGATACTCCTGGTCTTTTTTCCCTACTCCCATTTTCCTCATTGTTGCAAGTCCAAAACGCCTCTGTTGCTTCCAGAGATGACCATTAGAGAACATAACACCTAGGATCATAATGAACCAATGCTGTTAATGCTTTATAAATGAATGAATTGATACAGTTAATATGTCAAAGAAGCTTCTTTTTCATTCTAATTTTTTCAAATTTTTGCCAGCAGTCCGGCAGCATTCCTCTTTCCTCTCCTTTCTTCTTCTAGTTTAGTCATCTATTTCCTGTATAGAAAATTACAATAGCTCTTACAATAGCTCTATTCTGCCATTATTGTTCCGGCAGAATCAAAAAGAAATGTTTCATAAAAACTCATGAAAATATTAACCTTTTTTCCACTGTAAATTAAGGACTTCAAGGCTCTAAATCAGTTTCCAAAACCAGGGTTAGAACACACGAAAAGAATTTGTGAAAATAATAATTACCATTTCCATGAGTCAAAATGTGAAAGATACTGCTTGTTGGCCTTCCAGCAACGTCTTCAGCATGGACAGTCAGACCTTCCTTCACTGCCTGAAACCCTTGCAGGACAACTATAGGAATGTTTGAAAGCCATAAGGTGAAGACATTACCATGAATTTTGGCCATCTGTAGAACAAAGCAGCATCAGAACACCATGGGTGAGAACCAGTACATTTAAATCAAACAAGATGAACCAGATCTTTTCCCTTGGCAGATGCCCCAGGAGTGACTGACCTTGAGAAGAGAGCATGAAATCTATTCGTACATATAATATAGCCTGAAGTCAGGTTTCTATCTAAAGTCTCATTTACTGAAGATCAAGATGTTCCCGAAACATCAGACAGCCTATATTGCCAATGTCTGCGATGTTATTTATTGCATGTCTTACAGTTCAAACTCATTGCAGATGAATTCTTACATGTTTGTAAGAAGAAAAACATTAGCTCATGAGTTTTACATGAACCATCTACAGATTCCCCTTTGTGTGTTAAGTGTAGCAAAAGCAGCTGAGGAGGTGGGTAAAGCAAGAATCGCCCTCTCCTTTCTAGCTCAGCTGTGATAGCCTTGTCTCCACAATGCCGCGCACACAGACATCACTAGAATTAGGCCGGACAGTTCTTTCCCTGGCTGGAGAATCGGGAGCTGGAAAAGTAAAAGGCTGAGGGAAGTGCAAGAGTGCATAGATCAAAGTAGCAAGTCTATGGGGCAGAGTAGGCTGGGAAGAGTGGGGAGTTGCCAAAACATCCCAAGAACTGCAGGACTAGAGGAGTACAAACTTTTGCTGCCTGGGAGCAAACAAGAGGGAACAGATATGCACGTTGAGCAAAAATTTATACGCATGTACTTGCACATTTGTGTTTAATTTCATTTTTGGAAGGACTAATTCATGGCTTTTGAAATCTTGGGATGAGCAATACCACTCTTCAGGTTTGAGGGGTGAGAAATAGAAGAAAACAACAGTCACACACTGGCTATAATTTTATGTTGTGGAGTCACACTACTTTGCCTTGAAATATGCAACTCGGGAGAAGAGAACTGGCAGGACAGGGAAGAACCAGGGAAAAGGAAGGTTGAGAACAAAGAGTGAAAGTGAGATGCTATTACTTATATATTTAAATGTTAAATAGTTATGCATGAGGAATATAAAACATTAGGATACAAATTCTAGAAGTGCTGTGCATTACAACTGGACTTAGAAAAGAGTTTGAGCATAGGCACACGATGAATTAGTTTGGCTACTTAAAAGCTCAGTCAGGCTCAGCAGACTGAAGTCTGTTGTGAAAATCTGATGAAACTGTATGTCAGAAAAAAAACATTTATTCTAAAATCTTTTGAAAAATCTGTTGAATAAGTATAAAAATATTCATCCTTTCCATACTGGAAACACATATGCTCTCAGTAGCTCTTTCATGAAATATTTAGAAACTGCCAGTGCAAAAACAGTCAACACACAGACATGCAAAAGACTGCACAGAATTAAAGACACTGCTTTAAAATGTATCTTTTTTCCTATGTGTAAGACAGGAATATTATCATCAGTATTGTTTTGTTCATCTGCACATAAGGTTTTAATGACATGTTTCATAGTAAGCTGGAAATTTTCATACCAAGAAACAGATATTTTAATGATCGCCAGCTATTTTCACATTTGTACAATTCAGAATAAATCCCTCCCTAGCACTCAAAATAAGACTATGTTAAACACTCACATTTACTTTTCAATCAGCTTATGAGTCCATTAATTAGTTGCCTGAAAATACATACTTTTTTAAGGATCTCATGATGAATTTGGAAGTTCATCTGCAGCAGATTTCCAAAGAAGCGGTATGGAGTTGGTCCAGGAGGAAATCGTCTTCGCATCCATTGCAATTTCAGAAACTGCATAAGCAGCAGAGACACCACAAAAAATACCAGCACCACACTTACTGTTAACATTTCACTTCTGACTTACAAGGCCACGTTGTCTCTCAAAAACTGCTATTTAGACAGAGGATAGATCCACTTTCTCTTGCTTTGCTGGTACCTCCCTAAAAAGAGAAAAAGATGTTGAAGCTTCTGTGCCTCTCAGTCCTTCCCTCTTTATCACTTCACTTTACTTCCCCATCCCAGAGAATGAAGTGTTCTCATTTTTAAGCATATATGACATCATTCCATTATATTGCAGCTACAAATCTGACAATCATCAGCTCTTCAAGGGATACAAAATGCAGGTTAATTATACGCCTCCTTGTGCCATGACAGCTGCTGTGACAAAAATCCCCGCCCACAGTGCTGGTTTCATAAAAAGCCTCTTGCAAGAACAGAGAAATAAAAAAAGAATTTCCTGAGGGTTGGCTACACACCCAAGGCCAGTGGGATTACTGAAAAGTTCAGGCTCGTTAGTAGCCATCACATGCATCAACCGCATGCACCGCTCCTTCACTCACCTCATATTATTGCTTGATCCTGGTGTTCTCTGCTATTCCTTTAATATTTTATTTTTCTTCATGATTTAAATTGTAAGCTCTTTGGGAGATGGCCAGACCTTTTAATTTTGTCTAGAGCACATAAAACAAAAAAGACTAATCTGTCATTGGGTAACAAGAGTTTGATGGTTATAATGGCATAACACCTGTGTGTCCACACACTCCCTATTCAGCTGCACAGATAAGTGGGGCTGCAAGGTCTTCGTGACCAAGTAGAAAGCAAAATTTCTTCACCCCCTCCAGCTGCCTCTCAGCTAATTCCCACTGTATTGCCTGCAGCAAGAGTAAAGATGACACACAACTGTCTTTGTGAGCTTCTTTCACAAGTGCTGTCATGCAGCTGAGCAACTCCATTTATGGAGGTAGAGCCTATACCTCTGCAAAGGGGGTCATTTCAGACAATACAGCTCTGGCGCTTCTTCAGCACTTGCTCAGGAACAGCAATAGCTTAGACTCAGCTCATCTGGCTTAGACAGGAGCATGTGACACTCTGGAAAGTCACCTAGATGGCTTAGCTGCTCACACGCCAAACTTACAGAGCTGGCACAACTAAAAATAAAAGTTGCAAGGTGTTAAGCAAGTTGGTTCACTCCAGAAGTGGTGCAGAGAGCTAACATTTACACAGTCTTGCTGACCAGCGATTGAACTGAGAGCTGGGATCAAACTGAGAAACTAAATTATCCACTTCAGAGATGACTTGTGCGACTTGTAGTTCCTTCACTTGTGGCATTGCCCTTTGCTCTGTCTCAGAACACTCCCAACTCCGAATTTAGTGTTTTCCAAAGTCTCCTTGAGAGGAGGAAGAGTCACAGTTGTGACTGCGGCAGCTGTTCTGGGACGACACCCCAAACAAAACAACTCTGTCCTTCCTGGATATTTTCGGTGAGGAAGACAACATGGAGAGTGATTTCCTGGGGATTTTTGTCATGGCAATTGCTCTGGCCCTGGTTGACTGGCTGTTTGGCATCCAGGAGATGTGCTTAACTTACTGGGATTTTCATCCTGGGGGTGTGAGAAAACACCAGCTGCAGGTGCCCAACTCTTGCATGCAGAGGGGCAGCATCGAGGCTGGTATCACAACTTCACCATCCAGAGAGCCCAAACCCAAATTCAAGGGCACAGCTGTTGTCCTGCAGATTCTCATGCCCCCAACCCTTCCTGGGTAGGTGTTAGCCCGACCATGGGGACCAAGTCCATCACAAGTCATGCTCAAGATCTCTGAGGACAGCCTGCAAAGCCTTTCGCATTGGATAGTGGCAGTGGGAGACTTTGAGAGGATCAGCCCAGGCTCCACATGAGTCCTGAATGGCATGGTCTCTGCCAGGCTCCATATGGTTTCTGGCCCAGGGCACCTAGGCTACATGGACTGCAAGATCTATCAGTGATGCTTTTCCCCGGTGTTGTTACTCTCATAGGGTGAACAAAAAAGTAACAGATTCCACATATGTCGCTGGGAGAAGGGATGTGAATGTCTTCATGGCCCCTGAGGCTCACCTGCCTTGCCCACTTGCAGCCCCATCTGGCCCCTCCGTCCCTTCTGAGCAATCCTGGCTGGCAGCCGCTCTGCATCTCCCCTGGCTCTCCAGGCTTACTCTGACTTTTCCACACATTAGCCATGTTCTGGTGATTGCACCTCACAGCCTAGACATGAACTGCTTGCATTTAGAAAGGCAGCTGCCAAACAGCTTTGCCATGTCTTTGGGAGAAGATGTTAAAGGGGTTACAACTTGCTTTCCTCTTCATACAAGATGGTGCTGGAGGACAGGGAAGAGGGAAGCCTGATAACATGCGTGTATTTGCCACAGTTTCCATGAGTGAGAATTGAACGCCTGGGGAGGCAGGGGTTAGAGCTGGCTGACAGCTCAGCAGAACAGAAAGGTATCCCTCTTACCAGTGAATCCTCCTCCTTTCCCTCTCCCCAGGAGAACCGCTGGCCCATTCTCTTCTTCCCCCTTCCTTTCAGCTCTCAGAGAAAAGGATCCGTTTGCCCTCCACTTAGGCTTTTGAACTGAAACACGCTGCGGCCTGTGCCCTACCAGCCTCATGGCAGCTTGTCTGCACCCCATTACTTATGTTCCATGCCCCAAATTCAGTTTCAGAAATAATCTCCACCTCCCACCCACAAAGCATATAGCTGCTAGGGTGTCTGCCAGGCAAGTACTAGAGGCAGCTATTCAGAGAGGGACCTCGCCCTCTCAGGCTAATAACAGGTTTTCAGGACATGTTCCTTATCTCACCTGCCTGCCGCCCTACCCTGAGGAGTGATGCTAGGAAAGCACATCTTTGTAGATACCATCTGAGAGGGATGAACATCAACAGCTAAAGAGAAATAGGGCAGCAGAAGCATGCAAACAAAACTTGACTCTTGAAGAGGGCCAACACCTGCCATAACTTGTAGGGAGACAGTCTCCAGTACCCCAGATTCATGGCAGTCCTTGGTGAGAGCAGAGGTCCCTCCCCAGGATCAGACCAGCCTTCTCCCTCCTCCTTTTCACTCCTCTTGCATCAGCTCACCACTGACTGCTTGGGGGCACAGCATGGGGGCTCCACAAGGAAAAAGGAACACTCTGTAGGAGCTGCCTTCTCTGCAAGCCGCCCGCCAAACTGGGGACAGAAAGGGTCCTGCACCCAGCACCTTTCCTGCGAACCTGGAGTACCTACTTGGTGCCACGCAGGGTCTCTGTGCCCGGCAGTAGGACATGCATGGCCAGAGGAAGTCACAGAAGCAGGATGTGCTCCTCTGCTCTCCTCCATTTTCTGAGCGAGGGCACGTGTCTTGCCAGAGAGAAAGAGGGGAGAGAGGAAGGTCATCACTGCGACTGCCCCTTAACCCTGACGCTGAGCTTTGGGTTGTACTTCTAACAAGCAGTGAGAGCAGCCACGTTCACAGTCCCTCCACAGACCTGAGACCAATGTCTTCACCTCACCCGGACCCTCACGTGCCTCCCCCTAAAATTAGGCCCAGAAAAGCAGTACATTTGCCCAGGCTGGATGCACACTCCCTGGCACACAGGGAATGCTGAGGCTGGCCATGGCGGGAAATGAGCAAAAAATATTTCACTGGACTAGGTGCAGACTTCTTTAATTTTATACTACACTGATCACTCACCCTGTCTTGGTGCCAGTCTTGAGAAGATCAACCTCCATGAACTGTCTGCAGATCGGTCCTCCTTTGGAGGAGACTTTGGTGCTCTCACAGCCCAGGGGAGGCAAGCATTGTCAGGAGCTCCAGTGCCTGAGACAGCCGTGAGCTGCAGCCTTGCTAAGAAGAGCAGAAATAACAGACAGATAGGGCTGCAACACAGCACACACACAAAAAAAGAAAGATGAGAAAATGAGGTATAAACAATCACAGTGAAAACTGTCACAAATATGTGCTAATTTCAGATGCCCATTTAAAAGCATAAGGAATCACGTTTTGAAGTACTGAGGTGTTTTGCAGTACTTGAATTCTTCAAAGTAGACTGCTCTGACATCAAGGTAGGTTAATTTAAAGCAACATAACTTAAATGACATTTCTAACTGCATTTCCAGTTAATAGGCGATCAGCATCAATTTAAATATCTTTAAACCCTTCCTGCATTGGTTAATCTTCATTCTCCTCCCAGAAAAAGATTTAGATGTTTCAGTATTCCAAGGGTGTTTTGGGTTTTTTTCCCCCAACAACTCTACAAGCGACTCTATCTAATTGTTTTATTCCTTGAAACACACTTGGTAGAATTTACTTTCACAACAAAGAGTAAGTGTTCTTTGTTTAAAATGTAGTTTTCTTCTCCTATGTTTCTAGATCATCTCCTCAGTGATATTTCTAAGAATTGTTTTATCCAGCTCCCAACAAATTTTATAACCCCAAAATGTGGAGAAAAGAAGGAAGAACTGAAAGGAATAGAAAATGCAGGAAAAGCGCTGCAAGAGGCAAACAAAAATGGATCTTATCTCTTCACCTAGCTCCACAAATCCCCAACATTAGCCTCAATATATTTCCCAGCAAATGGCAATGAGACTAGTATCTGTTGTTAAACAAAAAACAGCTGGGGGTGGGAGGGAGAGGAGGCAGATGTCCAGCAGCCAAAAGACCAAAAAGTATGAATTAAGCCTTCACCTATATACAGGTCTTGCTATATTGCATTGCACACTAGCTAATTAGCATGAGAACATGCTCAAATTCATGTTTCTGATAAAGTTGCCCTTTCATGCAAAGACTCTCACCATTTTTTTTAAAAACTAAAAATCCAGCTGTGACACTGAAATTACAATCCCTGTTTATGCAAACTTATCAGTAATGGTACCAATAAATACTGTCCATCTGCCCTGCATTTGGCTTCATATACGAACAAAATCAAGACATTTAAATTGGTAAATTAATAAATATCATACTAATATTGTAATAATATAGGCAATATTTAAATCACAAACTAATCATTATTAAAGAACATAGTGTTATCAAAAATACCAGGGTGGATCAGTCGACTGCACATGAAAACTTAAATCCCTTTGTTGACCAGCTTAAAGTTAATTATAAGACTTTCTTAAATACTCGGATTAGATGTTTATGAAAGTCATTCAGTACTTCTCACATTGTACTTTAATAAAGTTAAGATTGTTTACATGTGGTAACTCCTAGCACAATGAAATGTTTGATTTGCACAGGTCAAGCCAGTGCTTAAAATTTTGCTGACTTAGCTCTATTGGTTTGAGATGTGAAAAATCTTTGTCTCCATGCTGACATTGCTGCACTGATGAAATCCCTTCTGTGGACAGGATCATGCTGCCAGAGATTTGTCAGTTTATGCCTTTTGGAGGTGCAGGACCATCCTGTTGGCAGAAAAGCTCTAACAGAGCACACTGGTCAAGAAGTTCCTCAGGCTGGACAAGGCAGAAGCAGCAGCAAGGTCTGTTATCCACTCACACAATGGAATCAGACTGCAGCATTGATCTGCTCCTGACAAAAGAACTGCAGATGTTATAGCCATTTATGTAATTATTTTTTTTTAGACTCCTTAATCTTGTTCTTTAATAAGGAATATAAAAACTTACCAGATAGAGCTGGACCAGGTTTGGAAAAAAAAAATCTCACATGATGTTCAGTGCATTGCTAACTCCTGGGACATGAAAAGCAGAAGCAGGACCATTGCACCATCCCTCATTGCCAGGTGACCCCAATTAAACAATATACTTTCTTTCTGATTTCTTTCTACTGATTTCTTATTTTTCTTACACTGATTTCTCTTCACTTTCTTGTTTGTTGTTAAATTTGAGGTACATTTTCTCTTCTTCTTGACCATTTTGCAGCATTACAATCAATCTGAAAGAGCAGGTTGCTTTGCACTTAGGAGCAGTACTAACTACACGGACATCAGTTTGTGAATCACAGGTCTGAATATCAGTTTTTAAAACACTGGGCATGGTAACAATGGTATGAAAGCTCAGTACTGCTTGGGACAGAAATTAGGAAAGAGAGCGCCACAGCATGTTGTGGCAGGCAATCAAAGAGATGAGCACAAAATATTCCTTACTGAAGTTTGTCACACTAAGACTAGAGAGCAGAAGTCTCAAACAGCTCAAGACTTGCAGGTCTATTTAAAAACACAGAGTTAAATGGACCAGATTACTTCTGAGTGAAAACTCTTCCAGTGCTAGCTAGTTTCTTGCTTTATCTACCACATTTCTTTTTGCCTACCACAGTTTTTACCTTCCCATTTGGGAAATGAAATTCCAGTATCAAGCTACCAACAGCAGAAATAATGCATTCCAGACCAGCAGCTTTCACCTGTGGCCTCCAGGCCCCAATGGGTCCATAGACAACCTCTAAGGTGTGGTGAAAGATGACTAAGAAATGCAGATTCATAAATGCTATTCAGCAACATATAAAAACCTTTTTCACTTATAGTATCTTAAAAAAATTTCCCAATGGAGATACAAGTTCTTTGTAAAAATTTGTAAAAGGACTTGTATCTCCATTGGTATTATTTTTTAAAAGACTGTAAGTGAAAAAAGTTTTAAAGCAATACGGATCCTGTGTGCCTGTTCCTAAACCTTACCTCTTATTCAGTCTCTTATACATCCTATATTCACAGAGACGCCCGAGACGGGTGTCAACACAGCAGACACCAGCTACCCAATCACCTCATTATACCCATTTTTGCAACATCACTTTATATTAGTAGAAAAACTGAATCCTCGTTCTGCAGTAGTGCACAATCCACCCTCCACTCCCAACAGAATCTACATCAACACAACACAATGCAGCATCACAGAGCTAGATACGGATTAGAGAGCAGGAGAGTCACATCAGCTTGATCTGCTTGACCCACTAAGCTTACGCATCTCTTCTGCCAAGCTCTGACCAGCTGCAGCAGCAGCAAGTGCCAGCTTCAAATCTGTGGGTGTCATGATAAAAGCATCCATTTGAGCCCCTACCCAGAAGCCTGAGAAAAGAGTACTGAACCTTAAGATACCGAGCTCCGTCACAAAAACGAATAAATTTTTTAGCTAACAGCATTATATTAAAGAAAGAAATCTCTAACATGGTGGATAAACAAGGCAATGACAACTAATCCTTGAAGTATAATTGCAATAACAATTATAAAGTTTTTTCCTCAAGGAGGGAAACTGGTAGAGCAACAGAGCGTTTGCTACATCCACTAGTAGCCCTCACTCTGACCTCGATTTTTAAATCTTGCTGGGTAACAAGGCCAGCCTCACAGTGTGAGTGGTTTCTGGCACTTGCTCTTCTCTAGGCATGCTTGGGCACTGTTCCTGCTTCTGCCAGCTGCATCTTGCACAGCTCTTCCCCTTGATGTGCATGCCTTACTAACAGGCACTCTTAACTCAGCAGCTCTGCTAAGCCTCCCTCAGCTCAGCTGTTGGAAGGCTGGGTGCAACTGCCCCTGTGCTCACAGAAAACTCTCAAGAAGTTTGATTCTCACATGGCTCTCGGGAAACACTACATAAATTTCTCCTGCCCTGTCCCTCCTTTGCAGGCACCAAGCTTTGCTTCACAAGACTGCAAGGAATCCCCTTAACTGTGCTTTCAGGCATCAATAAAGAGGCATGGCCGACCTAGACTACTGTACACCATTATCATTACAAACTCCACCGTGTGAGAGGACTCCTCTTTCATAGAAATGCCTCTCAAATGCACCACAACAATATATACAAAAAAAAACCATTTTCAGACCAACCCACTGGTCCGTTACCATTTACACCCACTTTGTTTCACCAGCAGTGGGGCTCCACTCTGCAATTCTTCATCAGGGAATATGAGGCGTTTGCCTTCACTTTCAGCCTGAGTCACTAGCCTCACGCTTAAATGAAGGGTTGCATTGTTGTAGCTCTATTACTTTCAGATTCAAGCTATCATCTCCCCATGGCTCTCGGCTAAATAGACAAACCAGCTGGCTCACACCTAGCTGAGGCATCCCTCCACAACTCTGTTCCCCCATGCAACCATACCTAGGGGCTCTGGCAATGCCCAGAGCCACCACCTCTGGGAAGAGCATCCCTATACTCCACTCTAGACTTGAGAATGCATGGGAATGAGGGGAAGCCCTCCCAGCACTCGGCTTTAATGTTCCGTCTCCCTCCAGTAAGATTCCTGTTGAGTTTCTAGTAAGACCAGACACCGTAACAATTTTCTATGTTTATTTCATTTGTAATACAGCAGAAAAAAAATGTACAGAGATTTTCCAGACACAGGAAAACCACAGTATTTTTCAGGGCCGGCTTCTTAGACATGCAACACAACAAGGATAGATTCACACTGAATTTGAGCTAGAAATGAAAAACATAAAAGCTGCGCAAAAGATCAGCGCGCCAGCAAACCTGTGGCAATTCCTCAAATCTGTAATACCCTGCAACCTAGCGAAGAACTGCACAGAGCTTGTATGGATGGGGTTTCATTGTGCTCCCAAAGATAATGTCTGTGTTGACTTCCTTAACTCCTTCTGGTGGAGTGAACTTGAATGTCTGCAACAGGCTGCAGAAGATGATGAAAAGCTCCATCTTTGCCAGCACCTCTCCCAGACACATACGGTGGCCTGCAGAGGGAGAAGGGAAAGAGCAGTCAGTCCCCACAGAGGTCTGTAACCACCACCTCCTTCCCAGCTTTTCAAAAGAGCATCGCTCAACCTCACCAAGGACAAAAGGCTTTGCTGAATTTGACATTTTCCTCTCAGATTAAACTGACCGAACAATTGAGATGTCTGCAACCCTTCTTTGCAGGATCTGCCCAGATTATAGAAGAAGATACCTGCGATGCTTCTCAGTAGTTTCATACTTTACTTCCTAATCTATAGGACTCCCCGATTCTATGAACTGAGTTTCAGTCTCTTGATTCCAAATGAGAATGACAAGAAAGCATTTTTTAGGTTCCCTCACAGCTTCCACTCACAGTACAGGCACTTTTCTTCACTAATAGCAGTGAAAAATCAGAATATAGAGGACATTCTACATCTGACTATAGATTTTCCTACATGTTTTCAGTGAAAACAACGTACAGGCTGACTTTTCTTCACTAATAGCAGTGAAAAATCAGAATATAGAGGACATTCTACATCTGACTAGACATTTTCCTACATGTTTTCAGTGAAAACAACTTGTTAAAGAAAAAGCTTTTCCCAATTTATCAATTAACTGTGTCCAGGATGTAGTTTCCAGTCAGAGGAAGACAGTGACAGACCCTGAAATGTACTGGGGTTAGGGCATTCAACCTGGATGTGAGAAACCAATGTTCAAATTTCTCTTCTGCCCAATTTAGGCCAGGAACCTGAGCCTGACACTTCCACATCTCAGCTGAGGGCTCTGACAACCAGGCTATTCCATCCTGGCATGATCCCCAAGAGCTTTTGTTTGTTTAAGCTTCTATAAACTCACACACTGGGTGAAAGAGTGACTCCAGAAGCTCCCCAGGAAAGACATAGCCATCTGGGATGTATTTGATCCAGCTTCAAAATTTCTGCACCGATGAATATTGAATTACTTATACAAAATAAATCAGCTCCAGCAGAGCAGCCTGCCACAGAACAGCCACTATAATAGCATAACCTGGCATATGCAGAGCATGACGGAGGACAACAGCGTAAGGACTCGAATCCCCAAATTATTGGCAATTCTAGGGCCTTACTCCTTTTACCTTCTCTGCATTTTCACAGAAATCTAAGATCAAAGGTTTATACAATTACCAAATGACTTATTTTTGTAATCAAACATTTTTCTGGGCTGTGAAAACCGTGTGCTCCTGTAGTTTGGGATTACACTCCCTTTGGCCTTCTCCGCAATGACAATAATACAGCTTCACATTCACAATCTAACCCACACAAACGGGTTCAGTTATCAGTGCACCTACCTGCTGAGAAGGCCAAGAAGGCCTCTCGGGTCACAAAATTTCCATCCTTGTCCAAGAAATGACCAGGGTTGAACTGGTGGGGGGTCTCCCAGTATTTGGGGTCAAAAAGAGCTGAGTCTATGTTTGCCATAATCATAGTGCCCTGAAAGGAAGATGCTGTTGGCTCAGTTCTGTCTCTCACACATCAAGAAGAGAAGGACACAAACAGATTCCAGCTATAATTCAGCACACTGCTGGTCACGTGGACAGGCAGCAGAAACGAAAGATTATTTTATTAGGAAAAAAATTTTAATCTCAAACTGTCCTGAGGGGGGTTTTCTTCATAAAATAAATAAGAAAAGAAACTTCAGTATTTCAGGTTCAGGAATTTCCCTGCTGTATTCCTTCATGTCTCCTTTTTTTCCATTCTGCTAGCAAATGCAACAGAATGAGTGGTCTGCGGTTCTTTAGCACCTTGTCCTAAATCTAGTAAAATGATTTTCCCACTTCTGACAAGCTTTGACAGGTTTTGACAAATGAAGAACAAAGCACCCTGGAAATGAAATAGTATATTTCAAATTATCTTTCTCAAGGTGGAGGTGGGAAAGGTGTGCATGACAAACACCATGGAGCAGGGCTGTGCAGGAAGATGCCTCCATGTGTGCCTTTGGGGAGGTTTGGCATGGAGGTTAAGTTTGGAAAGGCTGGACAAGTCGAAGCAGCTGGCAGAAGCTTTTTATTTGAGGTTAGGTGGCAGTTCAGAAGCTGTGGGGAAACATCTTCATTATATTTCAAATATGATGCCAGAGAGGTAATAATAAGAAAAAGAAGTCCTAAGCGAATGAAGTTGAGTAGACGCTTGGTATTGTCTCAGACATCACCAATGAAGAAAACATTCCACCTCCCATTCGTCCACACGGCAGACAATATCCTAGCGTTAACATTCTGCTGCACCTTCCCCACTGACACCACTGTACATTTCTGGTAAGTCTTCTCTGAGGTCTTTTGAAAGTGTAAGAGCTCAAATGCTTATGAAGTATTTCAAAATCACGGACTCTTGGAAAGTAAGACTCTGCAGCACTCTCACAGAACGCTACCTGAATTGGTGTGAAACTGTGGTTTTGGCAAGCATTTTCACTCGCTGTCTGTGAGACAAAGGCACAGGCCTGAGGGCAGGGGAGGGGAAAAGTGCTGTCTGCCAGTGCTGTCACCAACAGCCGTCTGTCCTGAACTGGAGGGAAAAGGGGTTAATGGTAAACATGACTGCAAGGAACTTAACTCACGGCCAAAGACCACATTGGAATAGAAAGGGTATCTGTACCTTTGGAAGCTGATACCCCAAAACAGTTGTATCCTTCACTGCTTCTCTAGGAATTGTGATTAAAATAATGCTGCCAAAGCGCATGATCTCATGAATCACAGCATTTGTATAAGGCAGTTTTTTCCGATCCTCATAGCAGATTAGATGGGAGGGACTCAGAATGGCATCTAGCTCTCTCTGGACTTTTTCTACCAAAAAAAAAAAAAAAGTCCATCATAGATATAAGAACACTGTTTTGCATGAAACAGAGCTTTCATTTCCTTTTTGGATTATAGTAGTGATAGAAAAAATACAATAAGTAAGTAATTTATACTTACCATATCTTAAAATGTAAATACATTTATACAACTATCTAGTTATGATTTTACTACACTCTGGTATTTCCTAGTTTATAGGTTCTATGTTCAGATCATCTTTCCACAAGCCCAACAGATTTATTGAGCTTCATAATTAAAGTAAGGGGAGCGAACTGTAAATAAAACAAGAACTTCTTAAGAGATCAGTTCAGTTACTCAAGCTATTATTTTTACTCTAGCTAAATACAGACTCACAGCACACTAATCAGCATGTTGCAAGGGAGCCATCGTATCAAGCTGATACACAGATGTAATGCTGAGAGCTGGAACAGGGTAATATTACCAAACCATCACCAACTGTTAATCTCTTCTGGCCGTCATCTAGGCTTCAGTAAGTAACATAGCTTATACAGTCTCAGAGGGTTCAAGGTCAAATTTCATGCTTAAAAATTAGCCTAGTAATCTAAGAGGTTTTGTTTCCTTTTTATTTCATTAGAATTGAAAGGTACGTGTGTGCACAGGGCTCTGTTCTTCCAGCTTTCTAGCACCAAAAGCATGAAAAGAAGGATTTCTAGCTCTAAACCCGAGAGTCGAGAACACATACTTGGCTTAGCAGTTCATCACCTCTGAAAGCCCCGTATCAAATCATTCAAAAATTTTGAAACTAGTGTGCAACTATGCCCTTGTCTAGAATTTTCCAGTCATCTTTTTGTCTTCCCACTATTGTCTTCCTTCTCTGTTTAACATTCCCATATGTTACAATAAATATACTTATTATACAGAAATACAACTGGTGTCTCAGTTAATGAGTGCAAATAATATATTCTTATTACACATTCTGGATACCAGAAAAGCGTCACTTTTCCCTAACCCAAGCTCATATTTCACCTCGAGTGTTTTCAGCTAGACTGTATCTTCCATTATACGCTTACAGCACTGAAACAGCCTGACAAAAATAAACAAGACAAAATACAGTATCAGAAGCTGAATATCCCTGAAATTATTTAAAAATCTCTGTCTGAAAATTTTCACTGGCTTCTTAAAAGCAAAGCTCAAAAATGGGATCTTAAAAAAAAAAAAAAGGAAAGCTTGATCTTCAAAAAAACTTGATCTTAACCAAAAAAAAAAAATGTGTAACAGACAATTGTTCTACTCGAAACATACCCATGTTCGTGCCTACAACTCACCTTGGATGTCAGGATAAGCCACCATATAGAGCAGAGCCCAGCGCAGAGTGGTGGCAGTGGTCTCTGAGCCGCCCAGGAAAAGGTCAAAAACAGACTGCACCATGTTGTCCTCATCAAATGTAGAATTGGGGATATTTTTAGTCTACAGGTGTCAATGAGAAAGGTAAAATGGGTATATCTGCCTAACAGTTAGCACTGAGACAGGCAGCGATCACTATACCTAAACAAACAATATTTCTAGAGGATGGAGAAAATATAGGTACTTGAGTAAAACAAAGATTTATGCAAAGATTTTCCTCAAATAAGTACATTGACACTGTTAAATTACAGGTGCTGTTGAAAGTGTCAGGTGTCTTAAGGTCCTGTTATCCTGCCTTCAAGAGTGACTTGTTGCCTTGCTGCTAACTTCCACATCAGAAAAAACCATTTCAAAGTAGTTTTATTCCACCCTTGCCACTCTCTGCACATTTGCTGATTTCAGCTATTGCACATATATATTATCCTTTTAAAAGATTCATGCTTTTTTCCAGAGCAGAGACTGCTATCATTTTAAGATGGTTATGATAATCATACAGTACTACTTAAGCACACAAAAGCTCAGCACAAAGCACAAAGATCATAAATGCAAACATTAATAAGACACAAAGAATCAGAATTAGACAGCCACCCACATAGCTGCACCTTGGCAAAGTCCTCCCTACCGCCCGCTGCCCAGCCTGCACTAAGGATTCCGCTGTATAACAACAAACCAATGTAATTAATTTATACTTCTAAAACAAGTTATTAAACTAACTATTCAAAGTTCATATTTGAATTTGACAGCAGAGTTTTTAAACTGTATCTGTAGAGCTCTGTAATAATGTTTCTATGTACGGACAACTGTAGGAAAGGTGCAGGGAATCCGTTACGGTAGAATCTGTGTCACATACAGCATAAATTACTCACTTTCTCTATCTGATCCAGGTAGAAGTCAATGAAATCTTGTGGTTCATCTGTTGTGCCTCTTTCCCTGTGGCTTTTGATTTCCTGCCTTATGAAAGAACGAACAAAATTGCAGGAAAATAATGCTTTCTGTGCAGGCCCTGGGAGGCGCTCTGCAGCCCATGGGAAAACTTCAGACATCTGTGGAGCAAGCATTCGACACTGATGCGGTAAGTTACATGACGTGAGCAAGGCTATTACAGAGATACAGCGTGGACATTTTTGGTGCTAAATTGCAGAATTAATTTCTCTAGGAAAAATACTGTAGCATCAAAGAGAAATGTTGGGTACATGTTGAGTACATGAACACGCATTAAAACCACAATTTAAAGACAACACAGTTTCCACTCTGGATTTTTTCCTATCCTTACTGCATAACTCTACTTGTATTTGCCCTGTTAATTCACCAGCAAAAGAATCCACTTTTGCAGCTAGATTTAACATGTATTAATATTAATAAATTTAATATTAATAAACGTACATATATAT